CTGCCTTGGGCTTCACGTTCTTGGTATGCAAAAACGAGTCCTCTGCATACACCAGGTGACCATCGTCCACCGAGTTGCTCAAGCCCAGGTACACTCCCTCGACCCATCGAGGCTCAAACTCCCTTCGAACCGTTTTCCCTCCTGAGGCAAAAGGTCTCCGCTTCACCATCACCTTAGCTCCAAACGTCGTTGCCAGCTTTGACACCTGTGACAACGCTTTGGCCCTTTGTTGTGCCGCCACTGCTTCAGCTGCACATGGCCAGAACTTCAGGTCCAACCTCGCCGATGCCAAGGCTGTCCTAGCTCGCTGCTTGATTGTCTTGATGCCCGCCTCAGCGCCACCATTTCCCTGAGGAATTCCGGGCACACTGGTAGTCACCCGAATCGCTTGACCATGCAGCCATTGCACCAAGCCCTTGTTGGTGAACTGTGCTGCCTTGTCCGAGTGGAAACGAAGAACAGGAAGGTTCAGGTTCCTGAGGTAGAGGACAATTCCCTGCACCACACTGGCCACTGCTTCCCTTGATGTCGGCCAGTCCATGTGCAAACAAGAGGTTGGCTGCCTTCGGCGCCTTCACATCCTCCGGAATTTCTCTTGGCCTAGTCCCAACCACTATCTCCTTATCAGGGTCTTCAGCCTGCTCTGGATCAGGTACAGGACCATCATCAAGTAGATCCGGCTCGTAGTCATCCCAGTCGATCCCCTCCTCTTCGACCAAACCAACACCACCTCCTTCGTCTTCGGCAAACGGATCTGCTTCACCCTCAGGCACCTCCACCTCAGGGTCATCCGCAGTCTCCTCCAGCTCGTTGGTGATGTAGGACTCCGGCAAAGTGTACTTCGCGACCAGCATGTAGCGAAGATTGCGGTTTCGCTCCTGACGCCCCCTTCCATGTGGGTTTACCCCCAAGGTGCGGAAGGGGCCAGCGATATCGATGTTCAGGACAAACAAACTCGGGTGGGATACTCGCCGGTGCTGATGTCCTGTCGCACCGTACGTGGTGCATTGCAAGCAGTCTCTTCGTGCCGGGTAGTGACCCGATTTGACGTGGTCTTGCCACTGCTCCTGCGACATGGCTCTGAGAGTCGCAGGGTCCACGACAAAGTCATCGCTTCAATCCTGAGGCCAAACCACCATCTGAGACTTCTCTTCCCATTGGCTCCCCAGGTTGCACCCGCTTGTCCTTCAAGACCTCCAGGTTGTAGTTGGTGATGATCTCGGTAGGCCTCGTCACTGCCAATCCAAGTGCTCCTTGATCACAAAGCACCCGGTCCATTGCAGTCGCCACCAAGAACCTTTCCCCCAACCTCACTTGCTGCTGCCCATAGCTGTACTCACCCCAGTTCAGGTTTCGCTCTGGTCCCGACCACACAAAACCAGTCTTCTCTTCAGGGTGCTTCGACGCTAGCCTCGCCAAGCAGTACAGCAACTTCACCTGGGCAGACTTCACGAAGACGGCCTCATCCTGAGCAGGCCCATGTGCCCCACCGGCCACAATGCATTTCAGCTTGCCCTTGACCGCAGCCCATAGCAAGGCCTGGTAGACATCCTGCTCAATGTTACCAGCCACCTTCAACACCATACGTCCCTCCTGCTCCAAGACCTTCAGGAAGCCATCCTCATGTTCATGGACAGGAAGATGCAGGATCCACTCGGGCGCCTGCAAGAAGGACTTCTTGACACGTCGAGGAAGTGGAAGGGCCTTCAGGTAGTCCCAACCCTTTGCCAGGTTCAACTCCAAACATAGCCTGGTCCTCAAAGCCTCAGGTAGCTCCCCAAACACAGGCCCCATCAACGCCTTCCAGAGAGCATTTCTCGATCCTGAAGCCACATAGTCGTCGAGATGCGTAGTCCACGGTGCAGTGTTAGCGCCCACCTTCAGGGCCTCCAACTTCATCTGCAAGGTTTGCACCTCATCTCGAAACTCTTGAAGCTTGGCGTTCTCCACCTGCTCGATGATCTTGTCCGCCTCTGCCATGGTGAGCTCCGGACATCCAGCCTTCACGCTGGTTCGCAGCACCCCAAGTGTTGGGTGCACAATCTTCAAGCCCTTTCGTCCCCAAGATATCTCGCAACCAGCACGAACGAGGTCTCCCATGCGCAACAAAGGCTGAGTCGTTGTAGACGGCGTGAGTATAGATCCCGCTGGCGTCTGGTAGAGCTGAGTCCTCTCGTTGTTGGCCAGCACCACACTCACCTGGTTTGCATCCTGAAGCTCATGAGGATCTCGAGGTTGTCGAAGAATGTTCGTAGCCCCAGAGTCAATGAGCACCGTTGGCACATCCAGCTCTGCCTTGAACATCCGAGGATCTCCTCCACGAGGTCGCACCACCACGTCTTCAACCCTCAAGGCTCTCAACCGAAGCTCATCCAGCTGCCTCTGGATCGATGCCAATCCTGGATGTCCTCCTCCAGCTCCTTCTCCCACCAAAGACCTCAGAGCTTGCACTGCATCAGTCATTGCAGACTGGAGCTCAGGGTTGGGACTCGACGCTGAGGTTGTCGTGGACACCGGTGATGTCGGCTGTGGTTCCGGTTCCGACACCATGCTTCTAGCTGCAGGCTCCTCCTTCGCCCGGCTCGGTTGGCTGTGGCCTCCACCACCGCCCTTTCCACCAGTAGAACTCGAAGGTCTCGACGCCAAGGCCTTCGTTGGACAATCCGCCGCTATGTGTCCTTCACCTCCACATTCAAGGCACCGCCCACGCTTGGAGATCCCTTCGAAGGAGTGCTTGAAGCGACACGTTTTCCCTCGGCGACATCCTTCAGGACTTTTGGCGAACCACGGACAGATCTTCTGCTCGCCGTCCTTTCCTTTTCCAAAGGCTTCTTTTCCTTTGCCCTTTCCTTTGTCTCGCTCTCTTTCCTTGCCCTTGCCCTTGTCCCGATCCTTGTCCTTGTCGCGGTCTGTAGCCCCATCCTCAACCTGCATAGGCTTGGCCTTGGGCTCTGCACCACGACTGCTTCCCATCACCATCACACCTGCCAGCGTCTCCATCTCCGCCTTGAGATGCTGCTGGTACTGCATGACAGTGGCCAACGTAGGCGACGTGTCGACCATCAAAGTGTTCTTGACCAGGGATGTCCTGAATGCAGCGTCTGCATTCTTCTGCAGCACGCCCGCCACGATCACCGACAGCCCTCTAGCCAAGATCATCGGATCTGGGCAAGTGACAGCGATACCTTGAGCTCGCTGCATCCATCTCTCCCACTGACGCAAGGCCCGCACTGCCTGCTCTGCATCTGCCGCCTTGGTAGTCTCCGTCAACGACTTCAGGAGGTGCAGCTTCTCGGACTCGCCCCCCGGGCAGTACTGAACATACAGCCGGTAGACGATCTTCACCGCACTGCGAGTGCACTGCCTCGCCACCAAGTCCCTCCGGACTTCCGGTGCCAACGCTGCCAGCAACATTCCAGCAGCTCGGGCATTGACACGAGCGTACCGCCCGTCGTCCAAATCCATTCCAGAGGGCCCTTGCATAGCCAACCTCTGGTAGGGCGTACTTGCCACCCACTTCGCGTAGTGCAACGAGACCTCACTCTTGACGGCCTCCCACCAAGCACCACTTCCATCACTGAGGTCTCGCATCGGCCCGTCAATCAGCTCCATCCAGTCTTGAATGACGACCGGGCTATCCTCAGCGCCAGAGGATCCAATGCCGGCAAAGCTGCAATCCCAGGCTTCACCTGCTCCGGCTGACCCACCTTCTGGTTCATCATGTTCAGCTGCGCCTGCTGGAGCTGCTGGATACCTGCGGCCAGCATTCCAACCAGTCCCGGCTGATCTCCGATCCCTCCACCAAACGAGGAACCGCCCACATTTCCAGCCCCAGAACCAGCCGACTGGTTCGGGCCACGAGTTGCACTCCTCGGCAACTCCCTTGCACTTTGCGGTCCACCTCCATACGCTTGAGGACCTCCAGGTGCTTGAGGAGCCCCAGGAACTTGGCCAACTCCCGACACACCACCACCTCCAATCTGCTGGTGCCCTCCAGGTAGCTGAAAACCTTGTGGAACTTGAGGAACGCCAGGTAGCTGAGGACCATAGGTAGCTGAGGACCTTGTAGACCTCCCGAACCACCATGTAGCTGAGGCCCTTGTAGACCTCCCGAAACACCAGGTAGCTGAGGACCTTGTAGACCTCCCGAACCACCATGTAGCTGAGGCCCTTGTAGACCTCCCGAAACACCAGGTAGCTGAGGAGGACCTCCCAAACCACCAAGAAGCTGAGGCCCTTGTGAACCTCCCGAACCACCATGTAGCTGAGGACCTTGAGGAACTTGAGGAACGCCAGCTCCCGGAAGACCACCTTGTGCTCGAGATGTCCCGTGAAGTGAGCTACCTCCTCCATGAGGTACTCCGTGAAGTGGATCATCCCCTGGCACCTGAGGACCTCCTGGAACTCGACCAACTCCCTGCTCGGCCTCGCCCCCAGACTGTCTCCCGAAACCAGCATTCATCAGCTCTTGTACCTGTCGTCGCAAAGCCACCACCTCGGTCTGCACCTGGTCTCTGCGATCCCTCATGTACTGTCCCAGCTGACGTTGCACTTCAACCCGAATTTCTGACGAACCCGTAGACCCTTGCGACGCTTGTTCTCCATGAAGTAGAGGTCCACGAGAAGGCCAACTGTTCATTCTTTCCACCGCCCTCTGGTCGAACAACGCGGAGTGACCCCCACCTTCCACGTGCTGGGTCAAGCTCTTCCGGCGGGAGAAATTCCAAGGCGATTGCCTGGCTGCCGACTGCGGTGTTGCTGCTACGGCTGCTGCTCTGCTGCTGTGGCTGCGGGGCGTTCCCGGGGCCTGATTGGGTGTTAGTCCTAAAGACCCTAACATCCTATCCCCTAAACCACCACCACCAGTCGTCGTCGCTCGCAGAAAGTCCGTCAGCCTTGTCATCCATCCATATGCGCCCGTTCCAGTCTGGACATACCTCATCTCCAGCCCAGTTGTACGCGACGCAGCTGTCGGCGAACCAGCATTCGCAGTGCCTTCCATGGCGGTCTGCACCATCTGCACTGCACCAAATCTTTCGGCTGCCACTGCAGTCTCCAAGCCACCATTGCTGGACTCCAAAACCCTATGTTGCTCCACCACTGGCCAGTTGTCGTTGACCTGCTCCATCTCCAGGCCACCAGTAACACCAGGGTCTCCACTGCCCAGCACACCACTATTTGTCTGCCCATCGGCAACAGCAGGTGTACTCAGGTCTCCACCCTGAACCGGTCCCACAACAACTGCACCAGTCCCAATTGCACCAGCACCATCTGTACCAGCACCAACTGCACCAGTACCATTTGTACCAGCACCAACTGTCGAAGATCCGTAGTTCGGCCCAGCTGTCTCACCAACCAGCGTAGGGGAACTCAACAATCCAGCGGTTGCGCCCAGGCCGCTTGGGCTCATAACCTCAAGAGCGCGGGGCTCTTGAGGTCCAGCAAACGACATGGCAGCTTGGAGGCTTGTGCTTGGCTCTGGCTCGGCTTGTACTCCTTGTACGAACACCGCTTCACCACCAGAGGCCACTTTTCCTCACACTGCAGCACCGAAGTCCATCGGCCCGTCGGGCGGTCCTACCTCTACCACGGAAAGGCGACCACACAACAACACGCGACCAACAGAACATGCGACCTGTTGCCTGCATGTCTGTGCTGCAACTGCTTCTTGTTCCGACTTTGCCTACGGCATGTCCTGGAACCACAAAGCCAAAGCAACAGGTGCATCTCATTCCACACCTTTCATCACCCTAAACCCTAAACCCTAAACCCTAAACCCTAAACCCTAAACCCTAAACCCTAAACCCTAAACCCTAAACTCTAAACCCTAAACCCTAAACCCTAAACCCTAAACCCTACACCCTAAACCCTAAACCCTAAACCCTAAACCCTAAACCCTAAACCCTAAACCTCCAAAAGCCCGCCTGAGCTTTGCGCGAGGGCCCCTCCGTCATCTCCGCGCCCGGGGAGAGCTTCGAAGCGGTGATGATGTTGGAGTGCCCGCCTCAGGAGGGTTTTAGGGTAGTCTAGGGTTTAGGGTTTAGGGTTTAGGGTTTAGGGTTTAGGGTTTAGGGTTTAGGGTTTCGGGTTTCGGGGGTTTAGGGTTTAGGGTTTAGGGTTTAGGGTTGCTAGGTACGCCAGGTAGGCCCTTGCGGTGTTTCACATTCTCCCTTATTGGGTTTAGGAGGAACATATTCAGAAAAGTTTATTCAGAGGGTCGGGGTTTTAGGACTGGTCTAAGGGTTTTAGGGCTTTAGAAACCCCAAACCCTAAACCCATAACCCATAACCCATAACCCTAAACCCTAAACCCTAAACCCGAAGCCCTAAACCCTAAACCCTAAACCCTAAACCCTAACCCAGGCTCCGGGCCTTTACCACGGACCCGCGCCGGAAGATGGAGGAGGCGACCTGACGCTTGGGAGACCCAGGGCTGGGTTTGGGGTTTAGGATTAGGGTTTAGGGTTTAGGGTTTTGGGGTTTTGGGGTGTAGGGTTTGGGGTTTAGGGTTTAGGGTTTAGGGTTCTTGCCTGTAATCTACTCTGCCTGGGCTTGAGATGCTGAACGGTGCAAATCCGTAGCTGAACCTTGAACCCTGAAGCAGAAGGCCCCGGAAAAAATAGAAATATTCTTACTTATTAAGGGTAGTATAGGGATTATTTATATATGTATATGTGTCATATATATATATATATTCTTTTGGGGTTCTTAAGCAAATAAATGGCAGTGAACCCTCTGAAGCTTGAAGGCCTTTCCCCCCCAAGCAAGACCTGCCAGGCGGTCACGATCACCGTCAAGTGCCGGTCGCAGCACTGCGAGGCAGGAGCTGCTCCGAGGGGCGGCTTCTGGGTTCCTTTAAGGGTTTAGGGTTTAGGGTTTAGGGTTAAGGGTTTAGGGTTTAGGGTTTAGGGTAATTTGTAGGGCTTAGGGCGTTGTTTAGTTTAGGGTCCTGGTCCTGGACCCTAAGCCCGAAGCCAGAATACATGCAAAACCCATGGAATTCAAACTTCGAGCCGGGTCCCAAGTCGCAAAACCCACAGCCCAAACCCCACAAACCCTGAAGCCTCCAAAGCACTACAAGCCCTAACCACGTGTTAAACACCACGTCCTAAACCCTAAACCTTTGTTTCCCTGCCAACCCTCCAAACCCTCCAAACCCTCCAAACCCTCCAACTCCAAACCCTCCAAACCCTCCAAACCCTCCAAACCCTTCAAACCTCCACACCCCCCACCCCCCAGTCTTTAGACCTCTTGAGAGGTTGTCCAGCAGCTGGTGAAGAATGCTTGGGGGGCCTCAGCCTGAGCATGAAGCCCTTGCTTGTAGCACTCAAACCTACAAGCCTACAAGTCCTCAGCCCTGAGCGCCAAACCCCAAACCCTGAACCCGAGCTCCCAACCCTCGGCGGCCCGCGACAAAACACCTAGGGTGTGGGGTTGAGGGCTTCCCAATAATCTGGAAAACCCCGAAACCCCTCACACACACACACTACTAGTACACACGTTCTATACTCGCCCCCAAATTCGACCCCCCTATGGACAATACATGCCCAATAAAGTCTACTTGTTCGCCGGACATGTACCATCAAATGGGATTGCATATTGCTAGAGGCCCCTATACTGTTCCGATTGACCGGTGAGAAGATGCCAGCAGTATCGCACAGCCTAAACCCTCGCGCGTCCTAAACCCTGAGCCCTAAACCCTAAACCCAAAACCCTAAACCCTAAACCCTACACCCATCGCTGCTTGCAAAGCCTGCTCAAGCCCTGCCCAAAGCCTGTCGCCAGTGCCAGCCATGGGGTCGCCATGTCGCAGGACGAAGAAGCACCCCTTAAAGGGGAAAACCAGGGCCGAGATAGCCCAAGCTTCTGCGGCGAAAGCCGAGATCGCCCTTAAGAAGAAGGAGGGGCTCATCCAGAAGAAGCAGGCGCAGGTCCAGGCTGCTTGCGTGGCCGTGAAGAAGAAGAGGGAAGCTGCTGAGAAGGCGGCGGAGATGCACCGGGCAAAGCTCAACGTCAAGATCAGTTCCCTGGGTACCTACCCCCCCCATGAAACCCGGTCCCTTAAGAACCCTATAAGAAAAAGAAGCGTGGGCGACTGTGCGTGCGAGGTGACTTACGCATGCATGCAATGCAACCGTCGAGTTCGTCTTCTTGGTCTTCACGCATTAAATTAGAACCTGTCACTATACTTACTACAACACACTGTGGTATCCTACCGTGCAGTTTGGAATGCTATCTTTGAACGGCGCTACAAGCCCCAAGACCTTAGAAGTTAGAAGCACTTATGAACACAATATGCCCTCAACCCTCAACCATCAACCGTCAACCAGAAACCCTAAACCCTAAACCCTAAACCCTAAACCCTAAACCCTAAACCCTAAACCCTAAACCCTAAACCCTAAACCCTAAACCCTGGAGCGAAGCCCAGGTCCAGCTGCGCGTTTTGGAGAACCAAGTCTTGGCGGAAGAAAGGCTGCAGGGTTTGGGGTTTAGGATGGGTTAGGGTTTAGGGTTTAGGGTTTAGGGTTTAGGGTTTAGGGTTTAGGGTTTTCGGCTTAGGGTTTCAGTTTTGGAGTTGAGGGCTCTCTTCGCGTTCTTGTTTTTTGTGGCGCTGGGTGGGTTTAGGGTTCGAGGGTGTGAGAGGGTTCGGAGTTTGAGTTTGAGTTTCGGATTTGATTTGGTGGCTCCAGCTTTGGGGTATAGGCCTCAGGACCCTGTACTGCAAGAGGATGTTAGGGTTTGGGCTTTCCCCCAAACCCTACACCGCTTTTTCTCTTTGGGGATTTGACCTCAACCCTTCTCTTTGGGGATTTGACCTCAACCCGAAACCTCAAACCCCTAGATTTACATGGCTTCGGGGATTTGATCGCACCCAGCTCCCTAGACCCTGAACCCGAAACCCCAAACCCTCAACCCTACACTCTTAAACCCTAAACCCTAAACCCTAAACCCTTAGCCTGAACCCTAAACCCTAAACCCTAAACCCTAAACCCCACAAAATGGCACTGTAGGGTTCCGGCTTTCTGTTAAAGCAAGGAGCCCAAGTGGCTATCAATATTATCACTCCCCAAACCAAACGACCCAACATCCTGAACCCTAAGCCCTAAGCCCTAAGCCCTAAACCCTAAGCCCGAGACCCTAAAAACCGCTGCGCCCTAGACCTGCCGTTTTTAGGGTTTAGGGTTTAGGGTTTAGGGTTTCGGGTGGAGGGAGGGAGGAAGGAAGGAAGGAAGGGTTCAGGGTTGAGGGTTTGGGGTTTAGGATTCGGAGAGGTGTTTGGCCCTTCGCTGGGACCAGTGGCAGGAGGACGGCGTCCGCGTGAAGGGAGTTGGCATGTGGAGTTCGTTTAACGTGTTTTGAAGCATGGTTTAGGGTTTAGGGTGTAGAATTTAGGGCTTAGGGTTTAGGGCACGTGTTTTCGGGGTGGGCCTTCTTATTCGCGAAGGGCAATTACCTGTAGGGGACCTTGATTCAATTCCCCTAAAGCCAGTACCCCCAAACCCGAGCCCCTAAACCTCTAAACGCCCTTAAGCTGAACCCCCTACCCCCTAAACTCTAAGCCCTTGATTAAGGAGATTGTTCGGCACTCAGGGGCTTTTTGCTTGGCGTCTTCTAGAGGGGGGGGGTGATCAGGGCTCAGGGCCTTTTGGGGTTGTGCTGACCAGGGCGTAGGGGTTACCGACCCCCCCCCCATTGTTGCGGCTTAGGGTCTGTCAAAAGCTTGAGGGTTCTTAGGGGTGTAGGGTTGAGTTTAGGGGACCCTGATTGTCAAGTGCAGCTCGTAAGTCTTGAGTGCTGTCAGGGCTAGGCAGCGGAAGCTGTTATTTAAGTCCTGACCCCGTGTATAGAGGTTTAGTTCGGGTTTAGGGTTTAGGGTTTAGGGTTTAGGGTTTGGGGTTTCGGGTTCAGGGTTTAGGGTCCCAAACTCGCAATCCGTGAAGGACACCTTCGTCATCGCCGTGACCAACGTTTGGCGGCGGGCGCTCGAAAACTACCACCTGTGGGTCGGGGGACCCGCCTCCATTTTGGTAGGGTTGGGTCGGTTAGGTAGGGCATGGGGCTTAGGGTTTAGGATCTATATAGGGTTTAGGGTTTGGGGTTTAGGGTTTGTGGTTGGGTTGAGGGTTTAGGGTTTAGGCGGTTAGGGTTCAGGGTTCAAGGTTTCGGGTTTCGGGTTTGGCAGCCTACATCCTCAACCGTAAACCCTGAAAACCCTAAACCCTAAACCCTAAACCCTAAACCCTCAGCCCTAAACCCTGAAAACTTTCAAGCCTAAACCCTAAGCCCTAGGCCCTAAACCCTAAACCCTAAACCCTAAACCCTAAGCCCTAAACCCCTAAACCCGAAGCCGCCAAAGCCTGAAACTAACGGCTCCGACCAACCTCCAATGTCAAGCCTCCCTCTCAAGCCGCTGGTTGGGTGTTAGCATTAGGGTTTAGGGTGTAGGGTTTAGGGTTTAGGGCTTAGGGTTTAGGGCTTAGGGTTTAGGGTTTGGCAAGGGTTTAGGGCCTATTGTTTTGGGGCTTCAGGGTTTAGGGTTTAGGGTTCAAGGGGTTTAGGGGTCTAGGTGTTTAGGGTTCACTTCTAGGTTCCCCCAGAAACCGGGTTCAGGATATACAGGTTTGGGGGTTTTAGGGAGTTGAGGGAAGGTTTTTTCACCCGAAACCCTAAACCCTAAACCCTGAACCCTGAACCCTGAACCTTGAACCCTAAACCCTAAACCCTGAACCCCTCCCAAGCCCCTTTAAGCCCTCCGTCCCTTCAGATTGGCCAGCCGCCGTGGCCCCGGTGCTGCCAGTTTCTATTTCTTTTCTTTGGGTTTTGGGTTTTGGGTTTAGGGTTTAGGGTTTAGGGTTTAGGGTTTAGGGTTTAGGGTTTAGGGTTCAGGGTTCAGGGTCCAGGGTCCAGGGTTCAGGGTTCAGGGTTCAGGGTTTAGGGTTTGGCAGGGGGAGGGGGGGGGGGGAGTGGTCAGGGTTTAAGGGTTGAGGGTGATGAAATGAGGGTTTTTAAAACGACAAGGACCCGCTATTCCCCAAACCCCTTCGGGCACATGTGGCTTGCATTCGGAGATGTCGCCATAAGCTTGCGCCCTAAACCTGAATGCGGGTGTGTGGGCCATTTCTCTTCCGCTGTGCTCCAGGGACTTCGGGGCCAGGAACAGTATCGCTACACCTTTAGTATGGGTGGCTGTCAAAATTATAATCCCCTTTGGGGGATTATAATAGGGATCCAAAAAGGGACCATCATATTAACAACCACCCATATAAATCCTTGAAGCAGTCCGGGTTGAAACTCTGTTTGGCAAAGTTGTTACTGCCAAGGGCTCGGTGGCCCAGTGGCGCCATTTTTTTTTGCAATTGTTGGTTCCAGGTTCCCGTATCAAGTCGCCAACCTCAAAACAGGCGAGGTAGGCCCTAGGGACATCTTGCATCTTCCCTTATTGGGTTTAAGAGGATCATCCTCTAAGCCCTAAACCCAACCCTAAACCCTAAGCCCTAAGCCCTAAGCCCTAAACCCTAAACCCTAAACCCTAAACCCTAAACCCTAAACCCTAAACCCTAAACCCTAAACCCTAAACCCTAAACCCTAAACCCTAAACCCTAAACCCTACACCCTACACCCTAAACCTCTATTTTGCAGAGGGTTTTACGGGCCTTCCTAGCACGGCACCCTTTGTATGATGTGGGTAATTCTCGAGGCTGGGGCCCCCTTCTAGGAGCCCTTTTTTCAGAAGGGGTGCCATACTCAAATGGGTACCCAAAACGGGATCCTAGTCTAGAAGCCCGAAACCCTAAACCCTAAACCCGAAACCCTAAACCCTAAACCCTAAACCCTAAACCCTAAACCCTAAACCCTAAACCCTAAACCCTAAACCCTAAACCCTAAACCCCAAACCCCAAGCCCTAAACCCTAAACCCGAAAGCCCAAGTCCTAGGCCACTGCGACTAAGCCACTGCGAGGCGCGACTGCGTCAAGGAGACGCTGAAGATGTTTCAGGAGACCCTCCTGTTCTACACGATGCAGGCGCACTCATGGTACTTCGGGTTTAGGGTTTAGGGTTTAGGGTTTTTACTTAGTAGCTAGTTATAGCTGTGCTGATTACCCAATTATGGCCTAGCGCTGCGAATTGCCTGGTCGTTTTCTTGTTTTTAGACATTTTACTTCGTTTCTTGGGGGTTTTCCTTCGCCGTGTGGGGGTGGGGGGGGGGATAAGAACGTCATTCATATTGCGTCCATGCCCAAAGCGCTGGTATTTACAGCGTTTTTGCCTCTTTGTACAACATACTGCACAAGGATGTGGAACAAGAAAATCTGTCACAAGCGTTTACCTTGCACGAAAAGATCCCAAACATGCTGCCCCCAAAGGAAATGCTTCAGACAGCTCTCAACCATGCTGTCCCAAAAAGAAAAGTTTTCGGAACCCCCTAAACACATCTTTTCTGCTCCGTACCGCGCCTGCCGGTACGAACGCCGTGTCGTGCAGAGCCCGTACCCAGGCAAAATACCGCGCGTTAACCAGGTAGTTATAATTAGTTGCTAGGTACCATGAGCCTGCAAGTACTGCGAGGACCCCCACCATAGCCGGCGACATCATGAAAGGGACGAAGTCAAGGGTTTGGGGTGGGGCTTAGGGGTTTAGGTTGAGGGTTTCGGCTTGTGGTGTTAGTAGCAAGTAGGGTTCAACAAGGCCTAGGAAGCGTTTTGGGAATATCTGGTTACAGTACACTCTTGAGAGTTGGAACATTGTCTAAGGATGACTAGAGCTGGGATTCCCTTTAGCATACCTTTTGGGTTATGAGGATCAGGATGTTCCAACTTTTCTGAGTTTACCGTATGCCGTTCTAGACTAGCTGGGCCCTTGGCACAACAGCGACCGACACTCCTTGTTCTGTTTTTTAGGGTTTAAAGGGGTCCACCGGGATTAAGATTGAGGGGTACTTCAGGTGGGGTGTCGGACGTTATATGGTTCCTACGGGGACCCCGGACCTAGACCCTAAGAACCCCAAACCCCAAGTCCTAAGCCCTAAACCCTAAACCCGAAACCCTAAACCCTAAACCTTAAACCACCCACTGCGCATTGCCAGGCCGTCTCCGAGCAGGTCATGCACTGTCCGGAAGTCATGAACACGCTCCTCAGCAGCCAGATGGGGGTTTCGGAAAACAGGGTTTAGGGTTTAGGGTTTAGGGTACCCTTTTTGGTGGTCCCTGTAAGGGGATTCTACTCTATTTGGAGGTCTAAAAGGGGTACTCCTACTTTGGGAGATGCCCACATCTGGTTTCGGCTTTGAGGGTAGGTAGGGTTTCAGGGCTCAAGGAATTTTAGCGGCGTACCCGAAACCCGAAGCCCTAAACCCTAAACCCTAAACCCTAAACCCTAAACCCTAAACCCTCAACGACCCTGAACCCTAAACCCTAAACCCTAAACCCTACACCCTAAACCCAAAACCTTAAACCCTAAACCCTAAACCCTAAACCCTAAACCCTAAACCCTAAACCCTAAACCCCAAACCCTAAACCCTAAACCCTAAACCTAAACCCTAACCCTAAACCCTGAACCCTGAACCCTGAACCCTTAACCCAAAACCCTAAACCCTAAACCCTAAACCCTAAACCCTGAACCCTCCAAGGCTCTTCCATCTACTCCTCAATGACGAGACTTCGAACATCCTCCGCTTCGACCTAATGTGTGGCGCCGGCTCTGCTTCTGGATCTGGGTTTAGGGTTTAGGGTTCAGGGTTTAGGGTTTACGGTTTGGGGTTGAGGGTTTAGGGTTTAGGGTTTCGGGTATAGGGTTTGGGTTTAGGGTTTGGGGTTAGGGTTGGGATGTTCCCCCTTGTACTAACAGTCCTTAGTCGAGATTACAGTACTGGGGTTTAGGGTTTAGGGTTAAGGGTTTAAGGTTTAGGGTTTAGGGTTTGGGGTTTAGGGTTTTGGTTAAATTGGGGTTTAGGCTTGGGCTTGGGGTGTTTCAGGAGTTTTGGGGGTTCAGAAGGGGGTGGGGGGTGGGTTTCCAGATTTCGGGGTAGGGTTTTGGGGGCCTAGGTCTTCTTGGTTTTTGGGTTTGGCGGTTGACATCAAGCACGAACTCTTGGGCCGGCGGGCAACATGACTATTCACTGAAATGGCAAGGGGCCGCAAGTGCTGCAGGGGGTACAGGGAATAAAGGACCCTCCCAACATCCAACTGGCGAGGGCCACGGGGCTTATGAGCCTTAAACCCGAAACCTGAAACTCTAAACCCGAATGAACCCCGCTTGCTTAGACACAAAATTTTGTTCAAATCAAGACAGGCAAGATTATCGACGAATACATCCACAACAGCGACCCCTTCTATGTGCGTTCCATGGACCGGTTTAGAGTGAAGGGGTTGGGGTTTAGGGTTTGGGGTTTAGGGTTTAGGGTTTAGGGTGTAGGCGTAGGGTTGTTACGATTGAGGGTTTAGGGTTTAGGCTTGAAGGTTTCAGTAAGAGTTCTGGGAGTCTTCAACACTTCGAGCTTGGGGCAAGTGTTCTGGAGGGGCATTAAGCCTAAACCCTCACCCCTGGAATCCTGACGCACCTAAGCCCTAAACCCTGAAGCCACAAAGCACCCTACACCCTACAAACCCTAAACCCTAAACCCTAAACCCTGAACCCTAAACCCTAAACCCTAAACCCTAAACCCTAAGCCCTAAACCCTACACCCTGTGTACCCTAAACCCTGAACCCTAAGCCCTAAACTCTTCAACCCTTAAACTCTTCCACCCCAAACCCTAAGGAAACGCCCCCCTCTCAAGACCAGCTCTGGTCCTCTGGGCTGCAGGGCCTCAAGGAACCTGAGCCCAAGAAGCGTAGGGTTTAGGGTTTAGGGTTTAGGGTTTTGGGTTTTGGGTTTAGGGTTTAGGGTTTAGGGTTTGCGGTTTAGGGTTTAGGGTTACGGTTGGGTAACGGCGCTGCAAATGACGGTGTACATGTGCAACTATCGCCGTGAACATAGATATGCAAACCTAGCTGCCGGCACTACTTTCACACAGAATATATACATGTATGTTGTACATACGTAGACATATGTACACATGTGTATGGATGCGCGCACATATTCCTGCATGCATCCAAAAAGACATAGACACATAGGTTGACAAAATTTGGTTTCCGAAATGTTGGGGTTCCGTTCTTGCCTTTAGGGCCCTAAACCCTAAACCCTAAACCCTAAACCCTAAACCCTAAACCCTAAACCCTAAACCCTAACCCTAAAGCCTAAAGCCTAAAACCTAAAGCCTAAACCCTAAACCCTAAACCCTAAACCCTAAACCCTAAACCCTAAACCCTAAACCCTAAACCCTAAACCCTAAACCCTAAACCCTAAACCCTAAACCCTAAACCCTAAACCCTAAACCCTAAACCTAACCCTAAACCCTAAACCCTAAACCCTAAACCCTAAACCCTAAACCCTAAACCCTAAACCCTAAACCCTAAACCCTAAACCCTAAACCCTAAACCCTAAACCCTAAACCCTAAACCCTAAACCCTAAACCCTAAACCCAACACCCCTCATCCCATGCAGCAAAGGTGGCCTGACCCTGGATGACCTGAACGACTCCGCAGCTTGGCTTGAGACAAGTTTAGGGCCTTAGGGTTTGGGGTTTGGGGTTTAGGGTTTAGGGTTTAGGAGGTTTAGGGCCTTAGGGCCCAAGGCTCCAAGCGCGGAGGATGCAACATGCAACCCTAAACCCTAAGACCTGAACCCTACTTCCCTAACCCCTAAACCCTGAAAACCAAACCCTAAACCCTAAACCCTAAACCCTAAACCCTAAACCCTAAACCCTAAACCCAAAACCCAAAACCCTAAACCCTAAACACTCTGAACAGGTGCCTCGGCGCCTGGGAAACACCGACATGGAGAGCCTGGAGCGGCGGCTGAAGAACTGTGCTCCGGCCCTTTGCAAATTGGTTGGTGTAGCTATTCAGGGCTTAGGGCTTAGGGTTGAGGGTGTAGGGTGTAGGGTTTAGGAACCCCAAAACCCTAAGCCCGAAGCCCTAAACACATCCCTAAACCCTAAACCCTAAACCCTAAACCCTAAACCCTAAACCCTAAACCCTAAACCCTAAACCCTAAACCCTAAACCCTAAACCCTAAACCCTAAACCCTAAACCCTAAACCCCCCTCAGCCGTGTTCAGGCACCTACAAGGGCGGCTTGATCTCGAAGATGTATCCGGCGTCCCAGCCCCGGATGCATTTGCCTCGAAGCCTTTCGCCGTCCCGGGTGGGGTTGAGGGGTTTAGGGTTTAGGGTTTAGGGTTTAGGGTTTAGGGTTTAGGGTTTAGGGTTAAGGGTTTTGGGCTAAATCGGGGTTTAGGGTTTGGGGTTTCGGGGTAAATCGGGGTTTAGGGTTCAAGGGTCAAGAGGGACTAGGGTTTAAGGGTAAACAGGGGTTTTGTGTAGGGTTTGAAGAGCGAAAAGGGTTTGGGGTTCAGGGTTTAAGGTAGTAAAAGGGTTTCAAGGGTGGGGGAAACGAGTTTGGGGCCGGGGTTTAGGGCTATGTCAGGGTTGGGGTCTGGGTGAGACACAGCGGCTTGCTTTCGGTTGAGCAGCTGCAGTACACCTCAAGAACACAACACCCGAAACCCAAAACCCTAAACCCTAAAACCTAAACCCCAACCCTAAGGGCCCAAAACCCAACCGCCCAGGCCCCAGACCATAGACTAAGCAAACTGCATCCTAAACCCTAAACCCTAAACCCTAAACCCTAAACCCTAAAACCTAAACCCTAAACCCTAAACCCTAAACCCTAAACCCTAAACCCTAAACCCTAAACCCTAAACCCTAAACCCCTGCATCCTCTGAAACTGGCGTGCCGGAAGCTGCCACAACGCGGCAAGAGAAGAGCCTTTCAGAGAAGCAGTTGAGCCGTAACCCTTTTAGGGTTTCGATTTCAGGGTTCGGATTGAGGTCTTTACACCCGTAATCAATCCCCGAAGCTCTCCTCCGCCTCTAAACCCTAAACCCTAAACCCTAAACCCTAAACCCTACACCCTAAGCCCGAACCCTAAACCCTAAACCCTGAGCCCTCAACCCTCTAAACCCTAGATGGCCCCCCTCAACAACCCTACATTCGCCGGTGCCCTGGAATACCCCCAAAACCTCTGGAGTTCCCCAAAGCCTTGGACCTTCCAAACCCTAAACCCGAAACTCCAAACCGAGCAGGCGCGGCATTTTCGCCGGCTTGAAGCTGGCGCTGGACTTCCGACCGGCTGTCGAACTAAAGAGCCGCCTGGCCTGCGCGTCATGGCCTTCGGGTTTAGGGGTGTAGGGTGGATGGGTTTAGGGTTGAAGGGAACCCTGGTGTTTTTTGGGCTGTTTAACTGGTGCAGATTGCCCTAGGAGCTTAGCAGGCCTAAACCCTAAACCCTATACCCTAAACCCTAAACCCTAAACCCTAAACCCTAAACCCTAAACCCTAAACCCTAAACCCTAAACCCTAAACCCTAAACCCTAAACCCTAAACCCTAAACCCTAAAGTTTAGTGGGTGCTAACGGTAGGGGTTGGAGCCGCGCTGAGGCATGGTTGCCGTGCTGGCCTATGCCACCTTTTCCGAGGCGCCTGCAGCCTCACTACGGGTAGCAAAAGACCCCTGAGCCCTAAGCCCCTAGGCCCTAAGCCCTATGCCCTGAGCCCTAAGCCCTAAGCCCTAAGCCCTAAGCCCTAAGCCCTAAGCCCTAAGCCCTAAGCCCTAAGCCCCTAGGCCCTAAGCCCAAGGGCCCTAAGCCCTGAGTCCTAAGCCGAAACCCTAAACCCTTAGCCGGGTTGAGTGCTTGGGGTCTATCTGGGGCTTTGGGCTTGTTGTCTCAGTAAGGGACTCCAGCTGCTCGGGGTCGAGGGGAGGGGTATAACTTGGAGTTTCCGAACTTCAAAGAATTTCCCTTACACCCTAAACCCTAAACCCTAAACCCTAAACCCTAAACCCTAAACCCTAAACCCTAAACCCTAAACCCTAAACCCTAAACCCTAAAGGGTGGCTCAAGGCACCCGAATGCCTGAGCGACCATCGAAACGGAGGCTGAATGCAAACTCAACATGCTTGGGGTTCAGGGTTCAAGGGTTTAGGGTTGAGGTTTGGGGCTTAGGGTTTAGGGTTTAGGGTTAAGAACGCTGTAAGGGAGTCTGTTTTAACAAAGACCGCACAGAACATGGGTTTGTAAAGGTAAAGAGGCCGGAGAATGCGCACTCCACACCTTGTGCGCAATACCGCCACCCTAAACCCCAAACCCTAAACCCCAAACCCCAAACCCCAAACCCCAAACCCCAAACCCCAAACACTGAGCCCTGGACCCTAAACCACAAGCCCTAAACCCTAAACCCCAAACCCCAAAGGACCTCGCCACCCGGCCCTTCTGGATCCTCGAGCGGTGGGTGCCGTGGCTGCAACACATGGATTTGCCGGTTTTGGGGTTTAGGGTTTAGAGTTTGGGGGTTTAGGGTTTAGGGTTTGGGGTTTGGGTTTTGTGGTTTAGAGGGTTTAGGGTTTGCTGTTTAGGGTTTAGGGTTTAGGGTTTCGCCCCAAAAGGCAGAAGAATCCTGAAGATCCAATTCCCAACATCCTGAAAGGAAGCTACTCCACATCGGGCTTTGGGAGCAGTTCAGGGTTTAGGGTTTAGGGTTTAGGGTTTAGGGTTTAGGGAGTTCAGTTGAGGTTTTCCGGCTCGGGTTAACCTTTCTGTTGGGCTTGGGGGATGTGAGTTCAGTGTTTAGGGATAGGGCTTAGGGTAAGTACCTGGTTGGTAACGGAAGCGCAGTGGGCGACTAACCTTGGGTGCCGGGGGCACCTTTGCCCTAAACCCCCCGCCAAGTCCTACACCATCAGCCCTCGAACTCT